GATGCCTTCTGACATCAGGTGTGACTCAGGAAACCTGTGGAATTAAGTGGAGGGTAAGTAGCCCTCACGGGGGCTTCTTACAAGTGCTCCATCTTTATAATAAAGCACCGGTCTGTGGGATCAGCCGAGGTGGGCAAGAGAAGGAAAAGTAGAGCACATGTCAGGAGGGAGACCCTTCACTATTGTTCCTTTCGTCGTTCTTAGAGAACTCAGCATCTTAGCAGGGGACTGTGGACACAGACAGAGCAGGAACTACGCAAGTGTCTGTTGTGGGTGTGCTTGCTTTGTCCCAGTGTATTCTTAATATTATTATTTTGGTGGTATTGAGGTTTGAATTCGGGGCCTCGTGCTTGCTGAAGGAGATTCTACAACTTAGCCTGCCTCCTGCCATTTTGCATTTTTTTTTTCCACATAGGGTCTTGCACTTGTGCTTGAGGTGGGCCTCAGACTGAGATTGCCTCCCCCTCACAAGTACTAGGATTCCAGGCAGGCACCGCCACACCTGACATGTTTTTTAGATAAGATCTTAGTAACTTTTAATGGGACTGGTCTCCAGCCGTAATCTACCTCTGCCTCTTGGGTAGTTGGGATTACAGGTGTGAGCCATCAGATCCAGTGTATTATTTGATGGCCAAAACAACTATGAAAAGAAGACCAACTGCATAAGTAACATTTGACACATACCTAAGTGGAATATTATTCAGCCTTAAAAAAGGAGATGAATATGGATGGCCTCATGCTAAGTAAAATATACCCATCCCCAGAGACTTGTTTTCACTTATGTGACGTCCCTACAGTGGTCCAATTCATATAGACTGGAAGTTGAAGGGGGCTGCCGGAGGCTGGGAGAGGATGAGCGTACGACTTATTGGGGATAGAGTTTCGGTTGAGATGATCAGCAAGTTCTGCAGGTGGACGGTGGGAATGGAGCACATCTGCAAATCCACATAACCCCACCAAACTGAACTCTTAAAAACGGTTAAGCAATTATAAGCAAATATTTGGTTGTGTGTTTCTATGGGAACAAGTTTATGTTGTGATGGCCTGTGAAGTACAGGCCACGTGTACTGAGTTCCAGGGACGTGAGCAGGTGTGGCGGGGGCAGACTGATTCAAATCTAGGGTGATCCGTAGCTAGACCTCTTTGGCATATTTTTGAATAACGAGCTCCCTTGTCTAAGGGAAGAAAAGTCAGGAGATGGGCCCTGGCCTTGCTCCACTGCTTACTAATGAGGGCCTTCAGACAAGGCTCCCCTTCCTAGGCTTCACTGTCCTCAAATGTGAAACAAGAATCACGATGATACGCCGAACTCATCACTGCTAGGCTTCCATGGAACAGAGTGTGTGGAAGCCCGTTGAGAACCCTGCCCTTGGAGACAGGCACTGGGGACTGGGGCTCAGCACACACTTCAAGCAGCACCTGCTGGTGCTCCACGTGTCTGGGCTGCTGTGAGCACCTGTGCCCATCTGTAAGCATGACCTGGCCACTTCCTAGTCTCTGCAGTGGGGCTGGGTCTGAGACCGCCTGTTGGGGCCTGGGGTGATGAGGCCTGGAGGAAGGGAGCTCTACCTCAGCCTGTCAAGGCCACCTCCCTTTCGTAGAGGTGCTGAGATGTAGAAGTGGGAGGGCTGACTGGGGATGCCTTCAGGAGGGACGGCAGGATGGGCAAGCCAGCTTTCGCCCATCATGGGGACTTGGGGGCACATACAACAGAGTGCTATGCACCTCTGTGCCTGTCACATCCTTGGGTTAGAGTGATTAGCTGGGGGTTGTGCCCATTTGACAGACAGAAAAGCTACTTCTACACGAAAATGAAAAGAGTAAGAGTCTGATCACTGATCACTTCCATTAGGTGACCTTTCAGAGATGTCCTGAGCCAGGACATGGGTTATCTTAGGACATCATTTACAGCCCCTTAAAAAAAAAAGCCTAAAACCAAAATATCCACAAAAGCCTTGAGATAGCTGTTTCAGGGTCAGTAAGAGTGGAAGATGGGCACATGGATGGGGTGAGGCCAGGTGGCTCCTCTGTGGACCTGGTCCTGGCAGAAGCACATGCCCAAGAAAGGGCTCAGGCTGGTGGGCCTGGCCCTGGGGCTGCCAGGGAGGAGTCAGACCCAGGGCTTTGACCAGCAAGGAGGCTTCATGCCTTGCAGATCTGAGCCAACCCAGCAACCTTCTTGCCAGTACTGTCCCCATACCAGGGGACAGCCCCAAGGCTCCTGCAATCTCCCGCTGCTCTCGCCTGGTTCATGGAGCTTTAGGAGGGGAGTGCCTGCCATCTTGTGGTGGAGCCTGGTACTGCCACCTTTCCACTATTCCCCAAGGATGCTACCCGTGACCTGGATGGTTTGTGAGGGTGGGAGAGGCACTGAGAGGGCCCCGTTCCTTCAGCCTTGCTGAGGGAAGCTTCTGGAGGCCTCCTGCGCTAACAGGGACAGCCATTTGTGAAGGAGAGGAGGCAGACCAGCAGTGTGTGAGGAGAGACCAGGGGCTGTCCACCCTCAATGAAAGCAGAGCCTAGCCAACCTGGGAGGCCTGGGCCTAAAGGGGGACAGAACAGCCGTTCAAACCTTTGGCCACAATGGGGAAGCATTTGAGGTCAAACAGGAGACCCCTCCTGAGGGCAGGAGGGAGGGAGGTGAGTGTCCCCGTGGCAGGACAGCTGCAGAGGGAGCGCTGGGCTCTCTGAGGGTGGAGAGAGATCTCATAGCTCTCGGCTGTAGACTTAGGAAGGAGTGGATTTCACTTGCGTTCTAAGTCTGGAACCTCGCGGAACAAGCTTTTATTTGGTATTGGATACAGATTGCAGAGATGATTTAAATCAATATAGACGTTCTCTGGTTCTCTTAACTTGCCTTGGGCCACAAATGTCAAGTCCTGACCTTGGCTTTTTCTTTTCTACAAGCACTCCTGAAGCAGCTGGCACACCCCTGACCTCACACTGATCACCCCACCCGAATTTCCCTTCCCACCAAGCCCTAAGTCCAGAGCCTTCCCTCGGTGGGCACACCTTCCCAGGCAGACATGGGGGATGACTTATGGGCCTGTGTTGTCACTGCACACTGGGGACATTGGCCCATCCACCTCACAATGGGGTCACTTTTGATTCTGAATCTAGCCAGATCCAGAGACCACTCCCAGGATCTAATCCACACAGAGGTTCTGTTTTCTGAACATGATTCCAGTACCAGGTTAGCAGGGATTCAGTCATGCAAATGGAAAGTGTTCAAAGTATTTCAAGCAGAAAGAATTTTACAAAGGAAATTCAACATTCACAGAAACACTAGAAGGGCTGTTAGAGGAAGGTGGGGGACCGGAGGAAACATCGCTAGGTTTCAGGACACCAAGAAGTTACAGAAATCACTATCATCATCATTGCCCGAAGGTTTTAGTTGTCTGCACCCTAACAGCAAGTGACCGTCAGGAGGTGACCAGGAGGAGCTGGTGAGATTGCAGGTGTGTGCTCTTCAGATACCTGTCCCATCCTCACAGCTCCACCTTGCCAACGGCCTCTCCTTGCACTCAGCTACCGGTTTCACTCATTGGCACAATGGACAGTGGGCCCTTGCTGGCAGTAGAACCTGGGAAGGGTGGTAGCCCAGCTTTCTGCCTTTGCTGTCCCTAGGCCAAGGGAGGGTGACAGGGACCAAGGCACACAATCTGACACTCGCTTTTGAACATGAGTGATAATAATAGAAATTCCTTCCTGTGGCTGTTGTGAGGCTAAAATTAACAGGTGTGAAATCTTTGCTCAGAGCATGGCATATGGTAAGTCTTCAATAATTGCTAGTTTACAAAAAAAAAAATAAAGTCAAAACTGACATTAGAATGGTTCCTTATTTTCATTCTAACCCCTGCAAGAAAACTGGATGCCTCTGAGCTGTCTGGTCCAATCGTCAGCCTTGGAGAGGCTGTGTTCCTTACTGTTCCCAACATGCATGGCTTTAGGATCCTGAATCAGCCTCATTCTGGCTCAGGGGGCTGAGCAGAAATTCAGGGAAAGGTGAAAGGGTTGAAGCAGTGACTCATACTGAGTACAAATATTGGATTCACTGTGCCTGGCAGACCAGGGGCTTGGATTTCCTCTCAGACAGACCACCAGACAGTCTGGTCAGCACCCTCCTACCCCAGGTACCAGGCTTGGCTCTGCAGCTCTGTGCCAAATGCAGTCAGTTCTGGGGCTGAATCTCTGTCACCTTATGCTCAAATACTCAAGCAGCCTGCAACAAGAAAGAATGGGGGCATGGCTGAAATTCAACAGGGAAAAGAATCAGCTAAAATCCATAGGGAGCACCGTCTACTTCCTAATCTGTCTCCTGCCCCAAATAGCTCTGCTGTCCTCCCCCAACTCGTGTTGATGGCTTCCTCCCCTGGTAGCAGATGCCTCCAGGACTTCAGCTGGGCCATGGAGGGTGGCGATGGGCTAACACGGGTTCTCAGGCCATGTCCTTCCCTGCCCTGGCTCCCCAGGCTCCTCGCCAGAGCTCAGAGCACAGACCCCACGGATGCCCAGCTCCCCAGAGACACAGAGCAGGACCCTCTTTCAGCCCGAGTGTGCCAGGGCAGCAGGGGAAGCCCCTGCCCAAGGTGCAGCCCACTGCCCATCTCTCCCAACACGGCCCTGCCTGACTCCTTGCAGGGAGCTTAGCCTTCCTTACTCAAGGCAACCGGGGAGCCTGCTCAGTGGCTGTTTCCCTAAGGATCTTTGGGGCTAGTTTCTGGCAGACACTCAGGGTACAAACCTGAGCCCCAGCACCAGTTGGGGAGCAGTGGGTGGGGATTAAGTTACAGAGTCCAAAACCTGACAGCAAACTCATTTCAAATCCAGTCTACCCTGGCAGAGGGAAGCAAGTACCTACTGAAAATCCCCCAGCTGGGAAGGTAGAGCTAACACATGAAGCCAGAAATCTCCTGCCTGCCACCCTGCGCTGCTCCCCAGGAGCTGCCATGGAGTCCTAAAATCAATCAGTCAATCAATCCATCTTTCTTTGTCCACAGGTTCTTTCAGAGCATGGCTTTGGCCCCATCACCACTGACGTCCGGGAGAGACAGACTTTCTACTATGCAGAAGACTACCACCAGCAATACCTGAGCAAGAACCCAGATGGCTACTGCGGCCTTGGGGGCACAGGAGTTTCCTGTCCTTTGGGTGTTAAAAAATAATTTCCCCATGGCAGAGAAATTAGTATTTTGCACGGTGGACCCTGGAGGCGCCAGTGAAAACACTGTCACCAAATAGGATGATGTTTCTGTGATTCACATCAGTGGCTTTTTGAAGTCCACATAGCATAAAGGCATTAATAAAAATCTGGCTTGCATTGAGCTTCGATTTTTAGGAAGTGCAATGGCGAGTTGATAAAAATGTAATTTGTTTTTGAATAAGCTAGGGTGGGAGTCAAGCATGAAATTTTCTGGATTATTTAGGGTCTAAATGGCAATAATGAAAACCCTGTTTCTGTCCTTCTGGGACTGTGGGTGCTGGCCAAGGAAGCTAAGGAATGAATCTGGGAGATGCCTGGACAGGGCCATGGGACATTGGGATCCTTGGTCTGTGTCCTACCCACCTCATATGCCCTCCTGCCCCCAGTGCCTTACAGTTCACAAGCATTCACAGCTTCAATTAATCATTTACTGAAATGCTTTGCTCTGCTGAGCACAGATGTGTGTAAAGGTCTTTCTCTCCCTTCCCAATCCTCTTTGTGCAAAGAAAAAATGTGAGTCACCTTAATGAATTCTAATGCTTTGCCTATAGCTATGAGAAATGCTTGTTCTAATAAAAATCTACAGTTCAATAATACAAACTGCCTGGTGTCTCCTTGTCTTCTCCTTATTTAGGAAGGGTATTTGCAAGAGCTCTGAGACAGGTAGGGAGGTAAAAAGGTTCATAATAATTTTACTTTCAATGAAAAATATTATGACTAAAAAATCTGGAAAATCTGTACACCTCTAGATCCTTGCAACTTTAGTAGTAACAGTCATTTTTCAAGTGCCTGCCACATCTGTCCTGTCAGGGACAATTGTACTTAGAACAGACACCTTCCATCACTGCCCTGCAGAACCTTCTATTTAAGACAAGGAGTTGGGGCCATCAGCCATAAGCACGTGCAGATGAATATATAAGCTGGTTTCAGGCCCTGATGGACGCTGGGAAAATGAGCAGGATGAGGTAAGGCGCTGGGCCTGGACTGTGCAGCTACACGCAGGACTGTCTCAGCCAGGTGGGCCAGGGATGGCTTCTTCGCAGTGGTGAACTTGGGAGTGAATGGTCTAAATAGTCCAGATGTCTGCAGGTGGCAGCACGCTGAGAACTCATGCGTGGGGTCAGTTGTACCGACTGACACATGGCTATCAGCACTGCCCTTTGCAGGTGAAGAGAAAGCTTTCCAAGAGAAAAACTGGAAGTACAGCTGGTCAGGGAAGAATTGAGAGACAGAAAGGTCGGTGGGGCCTGAGGAATGCAGGAGAAGCCACTGGGGAGAGAGCGGGGCAAGGTGGGCATAGCCAGCTCACAGGGGATCCATTAGGGAATTTCAAACCAGTCTCTCTCATTTTCTAACCTGGGCACAGGGATGGATTTTGGTGTTGCTGACTTGTGAGGGCATGGGCCTTGGGTGGAGATGAACAGATTTTCCTGGCATCCTAGTGGAGATGGGAAGGAGGCAGCTCCTGGTGAGGGCCTGGAGTTGGAAGGGATCTGAGATGGAGAAAATTAACATTTGTCAGCAAAGAGATGACATCTGAGGCCATGGAACCAGTTGAATGCATTTAGGGAGAGAATGGGGCGGGGCTGGGAGTTGAGTAGTGAACACCTGCTCCCCGTGTCCAGAGGTCTGGTTGTAGGAGGAACAAAAGAATTTGGAAAGTGACGGGCAAGGTTAGCCACTTTTCCAGGAAAGTGTAGATGTGTGTCACATCTTGAGTGCGGCAAAGCTTGGACCACCATGTATGATCTGTACAGAACAAAATGATAAATGACCAGGAGGCCAGGTTCCCTGGGAAAAGACCTTGAACCATTTCAAGGGTTCCTTGAACCTTTCCCTAAACCTTCTGCTGAAGGAAGTGGGGTCTTTACCAACCTAGCTCTGCCTGGGGAAGTGGGCTGGACCCCCAAGTCTCCTTGGAGCTATGGCAGACTGCCTCTAAAATGCCACCAGGGCTCACTGTTTAGGGTGGAGGTTATAAGGACAGAGAGGTCGTTCTAAGACTGGGTCACAGGGGTAGGAGGTGTCTGAATCATAAGCCTGAAGCTATTTCCCCAGTCCCAGGATGCATCATGTGTATTAACCATGTTTCTAGTTCTGTAAACTTGATGCTTTAACATCAACATATGTGGACATGCCTCATCTCATTCAACCCCATGATCTGCCTGAATCTCCTTGACCTGACCTTCTGCCTCCCTCCTCTTCCTAGCAGAGCCCTCTGCCTGAAGGTGTGTTTTCCAGATACAAATAACTAATCCAGAGTTCACACCCCCAGCCACATCCTGTATGGGGCTCTTTGAATCCTGGTGACTCTCCACTTGCTCTCGTCACCTCAGGTCTGGTACCCAATAACTAGGAACAGCCCCTAAATCCAGAGCCCACTGAAATATTCACACCAGCCAATCCTGAAGCTGCTTAGCCTGCTTGTGCTGCCTCATTCACTCCTTCCTAAAAACCACAATAAAGACTCTTGTCCCGTCTTCTCCTGGCCCCTGCTGAGTCCAAGTGTTTTTCCAGGTGGCCCTTCCATTAATGGCACACTCCCTTCTCTGGGACCTGTGAGTGACAAACTATCTTCTTAGTGGCAGCCATCTCTGGATTTGTTGACCTTATTATATGTTACTAAAAATAAGACCTATTCAAATGTAGAATTTAAAGTTTACTAATATGGTATCTTGAAACTCATGAACTCAATATGGCTTTCCATGTAATTAACTAAATAAGTTTATTTAATTTTCTTTAACAGTGGTTTATAGTTTCCAGTGTCCAGGTCTTGCACATTGTTTATTAGCTATGTCCCCAAGTCATTCATGTTTTATGGATTTGTTAATGTATTGTTTTTACATAAATTCAATTTCTGTTCAGAATTCTGTAAGTACAATTATACCAATACAATCGACTTTTGCACATTGATCCAGAAGAGATCCAGTAGACTGCCACCATGCTAACTTGTTATTTAACTCTAGTCTCTTTTTTTTTGTGGATTCCATGGAATTTTCTATATAGGTAGCAAGGTCATTGTCACATAGAGACTTTTACTTCTTCAAGTCTCTACCCCTCTCCCTGCTGTTTCATGGCATCTCCACAATTTTGATAGGTTGTGTTTTCATTTCCACTTAGTTCAAAATACTTTTTCATTTTTCTTTTGAGTTCCTCTTTGACTTACAGGTTGTTTAGGACATGTTGTTTGGTTTCCAAATGTTTGTGGATGTGTTATCAACTTTTAATTTCATTCCATTGTTGTCAAAAAAATGTCTGTCTTGAAGGCTTTTGAATTTATTAAGACTTCTTTTATGGGCCAGAATGTGAGCTACTGTGGTAAGAGTTTCGTGGGCACGAGAGACCAATGCATATTTTGCTCTTGTTGGTGGAATAAATGCCAGTAAGTCACGTTGGTGGTGGCGTCACTCAGGTCTTCTCTCTCCTTAGCAGTGTTCTGTCCACTTGGTCTCTCAATTAAGGGAGATACGTTGAAATCTCCAGCCATAATTGTGCATTTGTCTATTTCTTTGTACAGTTTTGTTAGCCTCCTTCATATATTTGGAAATTCTGGCACCAGTGCATACATGGTAAATATTTTCATATCCTCTTGATGAATTCATCCTTTATGCAGGGAACCTCTTTATCCCTAGTAATATTCTTTGCTTTGAAATCCTCTCTATCTTATATTAATATGGTCACCTTGACTTTCTTTAGAAGGTTTTCACAGGGTGTGTAATTCTCCATCTTTTTACATTTATTGACTTGTGTCCTTTTTGTTCATTTCCTTGTTTGTTCTGTGGTACTGGTGTTTGAATTCAGGGTTTTGCACTTCGTAGGCGGGCACTCTACTGCTTGAGCCATGCCTCCGGCCTAATTTGTGTCTTGGTAGGTAATGTGAGCTCGTATGCAGCGTGGAGTTGAACTCCGCTTTTTGGGTCAATCTAATGGCCTTTAATTGGGTTGTTTATGCTATTTACAGTTGATGTCATTTAGTTTAAATGTCTCCTTTGTTGGTTTCTTGGATTTCTTTGTTGTACTGTTTTAGTGGTTGCTTTAAGGTATATAAGTATGTATCTTTAACTTATCACTATCTACTTCAACTGACAGAGCCTCATTTATTGTGTACTTAAAAATAGTATACTTCAGTTTCGCTCTTCCTTGTCCTTATGCTATTTTTAGCATATATTTATTCTATATTCATAAACTCCATGATACATTGTTATTTTTGTTTCAAATAGCCAATTATTTTTTAAATATATTAAGTAATAAGAAGAATTGTTTTACGTGTATATATAGTAAACATTTCCACTGTTTATTCTTTTGGTTAATTCATATCCTATTCCCTTGGATATATATATGTAGGTGGTACTAGAGTTTGAACTCAGAGCCTTACACTTGAGACAGTTCTCCAGTCCTTTTTTGTTTTAAGTTATCATCATCATCATAATTTTAGAACTGGGTCTCACTTTTTCCTCAGGCTGGCCTTTGCACGAGATCCTCCTACTTCTGCCTCCTAAGTAGTTGGGATTATAGGCATGAATCACCACACCTGGCCCTAATATTCTTTATAGTGTGGTTTTGCTAGTGATGGGTTTTCTGTTTCTATATGTTTGAGAAAGTCTTTATTCCACTTTTGTTTATCAAACATGTTTTTCTGAATATGATGTTCCCAGTTGACATCTTTTCCTTTCAGTAGTTAAAAAATGCTGCTCCATTTTCCTTTTCCTTCCCTTTTGACTTGCATAGTTTTCAATGTACACATAGTTTTCTCTGTACACAATGGATCTGTATTTTTTTCACACAACTACCTGCTTTTATGATTTTTCCTTAATCAAATAATTTGATTATGTTGGGTAACATTGTGTTGTCAAAATAATACATCCAATTCCTAGTCTCTGGTACCTGTGTGACCTTATTTGGAAACAGGATCTTTGCAAATGTAATAAGGTTAAGATGGGGTTATACTGGACTACAATGGGCTGTAATCTATGACGGAGGCCCCTATAAAATGAGAGAAATTTGGACACACAAACATATGCAGAGGACTATATGTTATAAAGACAGAGACATACAGAAAGAATGCCTTGTGGAGATGGGGTAGAGATTGGAGTGATGCAACTATAAGCCAAGGAACACCTAGGACTGCTGGCAACCACCAGAATCCACGAGAAGGCAAGAAAGGATCCTTTCCTGAGCCTTCAGAGAGTGTGGTCCTGGTGCGTCCTGGTTCTGGCCCTCTGGCCATAACTGTGAATGAGTAAATGTGTGCTACTGTGAGCCCCAGTTTATGGTAGCTTGTTACACTGACCCTTGGAAACTAATACAATTATGATGTGCTCTGATGTCGTGTTCTTCATATTTCTGATACTTGGATTTTATTGAGCTTCCTGAATCTATGCATTTATTGTTTTTATCAAGCTTGGAAGCTTTCTGCTACTAAAATCTCTAAATATTTTTTTTTTTTGGAAACCTAATGGACCCATTGATACCCTGGTTAATTTTTTCAGCCTTTTTGTCTCCAACTTTTCCATGGGATAGTTACAGTTTTTCTGTCTCTATGTCTTCAAAAACACCATCTTTCCTTTTGCAATATTTAATCTGC